CATTAAAATCATCCACGTCCGTCAATGTAGCCAAATTTAAATGCCGGAGTTGATTTTACTATTGGATATACATGTATGACGTACACAAAAAAACAACAAAAAAGAACACCATATTTTAATACCCCTCCCCCACCCTGTCAACGTAAGGGGCAGTCACTATATTACCTACGCACTGAAGATGGGCATGACAGCTTGCGGATCGCCAGAATGTACCTACAATAGGCAAACATTCTACAATAAGTATCCTGACAGTGTCTAATGGAGCCTACTGTAAACTACAAATCTGTTAAATCCATGATTTCTTATTAAGCCTACTTAAGTACATAAACAATCACCACTGTGTTTCGTGGTTATCGGCACACTAAGGCTTTGTGCTTTTATTATTTAAATAGTTCGACAGAAATAGCTGTAGTAATATAATTTAGCCCACTGTAGTCTTTCCGTGCAGTTGACGTAATTATTTCGTACAGAGAGTATCTAGATTTGTGCGACTGGGCTCGGAGACATGACACCAGGGTTTCTTTCCGCTATATCTCCAGGGGGCAGTAAACCCCCCTCCCAGAGCAAAAATATGTCCAACAATAAATCAACTGGCACTGCTCGCACGAAAATTCAGAAGTGCCCCGCCAGGGGAACATTTCTGAAAGAATCAGTGCACGACACGCGTCTTGCGTACGATAATAATAATAATAATAATAATTATTATTATTATTATTATAAAAGACATTTTGAAGTTTCGGAAAAATCTTCACTCTAACGAATATTGATCAAGTTCTGTTGTTAAGGGGTGGGGGTGGGGTGGGGGAAATTTCGGCCCAGGCGGCATTTAGATAAGGTACACTACTGAGTGTTTGTCAATCAACGATTTCATGCGATGCGCATTGCGTACAGGGGCCGTTCGGACAAACGACATTTGGGATGATGGACGCTCTACAGTATTTTTATAATGACAACAAATTAAGCCAACCAGGTTTTCTGGATGCCGAGTACGGACACAGATGCTCACAGCAACCCGAGACATAGCAGCCCGGGGGATGGGGTGGGGGGGGGCGAAACAAAAACAACATAAGGTGTTGTGCATGATTTTTAATATCCTTCTGTACATCATTGTGTTGAAAACTTTTGTGAATATTTTGCAGACAGGTTTCAAAAATAAATTGTTTCACATCAGTGTTAGCTCATCAAAGAGATTGCTGTCAACCATTTTCCCTAGTACGATTTCATTTCCGTGCGCAGATGGTCTCACGCTGTTTCATTCAGGGGCAGCAGCAATGCCCGGGTTATCGAGACATGTGCCGCCCGGTTTCACTGAAACCATTCGATACACTGATGTTTTTTTGGGAGAAATAAGATGACATAAATTAAAGGGACATAAGGCAAGTAAGTCATCGTTATTATGTATTTATTTATTTATTTAGGCATTTTTATATAGCGCTTACCTTAAAGCTCTGAGCGCTTTACAATTATTAAAAACATGTAAACTAAGTAAAATTAAAATGAGACATTAGGATAGTAACTACTATACTATAGAAACAAATAAAATGGCTATAAAAGGAGGACACTTTGGCACATTTTGGCCTATACTACAGGATCAACCCGAGACAGAAAATGAGGCAGGGCAAGGAGGGTGCATCACATGTCATAGGCGGACCAAAAGTACGAACCAGACGGACGACGACTGGAAAGTACGGACAAATACGGACGCAAAATTAAGTACAAGGGGGTCCGAAGATACAAACTGTCCGTACTAAATACGGACGTCTGGCAACCCTAAATAAATGGCGATCTACAGTAGTTATAGTCACAATAAATGACGCTCTACTGTATTTATAATCACAATAATTGACGATCTGAAGTATTTATAATTGCAATAAATGACACTGCAGAATTTTTAATCACAATAAATGACGCTCTACTGTAATTATAATCACAATAAATGACACTGCAGAATGAATCACAATAAATGACGATCTACAGTAATTATAATCACAGTAAATGACGAATAATAAATGTATTTTTTTAAAAAGGTGCACACCAGCCGATGTCGAAAAATGTTATGCATTTTCTTTCTCAGAGTCTAGATATCCCCTCCTTCACACTGCCCCTCCCCTTTTCCCCCAATTTTTAATTACGTGTTTCAAGGTGGATCACCGAACAAGACACAAGGGGTTCAAATATGCTCCAGTTCCTGGCTAAAGACAAACGTTGCTCCCCTCCCCCGCCCCGTCGCAACCCCTATTTTAAATTGTTGCGGGTATTTGTTCATCTGGTGAATGGCTTGAGAAGGGTGGGTCGGGAAGTAGGTGAGCCCCACCAAATACTGGATGAACGGAGGCGGGTTGACACTGTCGATCAAATTATCGTGGTTGACTGTGTCTGCTTCGTTGAGTGAACGAGTTGGTGGGGGTAAGCTCAGATCTGCCATTTTTTTTACGTGCCTAGGTAAAGAGTGAGGTCACTTAAAACCAGGTTTTAAAGCAATTGTTGTTTTTAAAAAGTAAAGAATTCTTCTTTTGTGGATAATTTAAAGATTACAATTTTAATACTAAAAAAGTTTTTAAAAAATGTAATCAAAAAATTATTTTTTTTAAAAACTTTATATCAAAGACGAGTTTAAAGGCAATAAAAAGTGGAAAATAATTTAATTTAAGTTTTTTTTATGAAAAGAAAGTCAGTGCAGTTTACGTTTTAAAAAAAAAATAATTAAAAAAAAGATATTTCAAGTTCGTCTACAGTCAATTCCAAACCTTTGGCTACATGAAGGGCTCATCTACACTTTTGCACAGTCTTTCATTGGGTATGTTTTTTAAAAGAATTTTTCAAATATTTGTATGTGCATTGTTGTTGGAAAGATACATGTTAACTTTGTAAAAGACCAAACTAACACACAGTTTTGAATATTGTTGGAAGCATACAAATTTCCTATCTACTAGACCAAACAACCACCCAGTTTGAATATTGTTGGAAGGAAATATATTGTCTATATAAGAGACCAAACCGCCACCCAGTTTGAATATTGTTGGAAGCATACATATTTCCTATCTAAGAGACCAAACGCCACCCAGTTTGAATATTGTTGGAAGCATACATATTTCCTATCTAAGAGACCAAACCGCCACACAGTTTTGAATATTGTTGGAAGCATACACATTTCCTATCTACTAAACCAAACAACCACCCAGTTTGAATATTGTTGGAAGGAAATATATTGTCTATACAAGAGACCAAACCGCCACCCAGTTTGAATATTGTTGGAAGCATACATATTTCCTATCTAAGAGATCAAACCGCCACCCAGTTTGAATATTGTAGGAAGCATACATATTTCCTATCTAAGAGACCAAACCGCCACCCAGTTTGAATATTGTTGGAAGCATACATATTTCCTATCTAAGAGACCAAACCGCCACCCAGTTTGAATATTGTTGGAAGCATACATATTTCCTATCTAGGAGACCAAACCGCCACCCAGTTTGAATATTGTTGGATGCAAACATATTTCCTATCTAAGATACCACCCCTCCGCGCCCAATTTTCACTAGCTACATATCCACCCTTTGGAAAAACACTGATCTAATTTGAATGACATATTGCATAAATCATGATCAATTCATTTTGGATCGACTTGCCTTACTCAGTGTGAAGTTAGCCTCATGTTGCATATACTCCTGTGTATCTCGACGTCTTGGATCTTGTCCTGCCATTTGATGTTGTGCCTTTTTCGGACGCTAATCGTGTGAAAGTGGTTTAGTTTCCTTGTTTGTCTTTGAAAGACTTACCTTGTTTCACATGCGTGTAGTGGCGTTGGGACCACGGCTGCTTTGTAAAACCTTTAGTTTGGGTTTTGTTGCTGATGCCCACTCTCCTTGTCCAAACATTCAAAGACATTTTTTTCCGAATGTTGAGCTGGCTCTTGCAATTGAAAGGTTCACTTCATCATCGACTGTTACGCTCTGAGACAGTTTAACGTCGAGGTATACGAAGCTGTTTAAAACTTTGAACCTGCGCCAATGGCTTTGATGTTTGGCTTGATTTAATGTTTTTCAGGAGCTGGTTGGTACAGGACCTCAGCACGGACGTCATTTCAGTAGGGCATTTGCCCCACCCTGAATCTGTAGGGTTTATTTAAATTGCTATGTACGATGGCGCCTCCAATAATAAACAACTTAATAAACCGACAAAGTTTTTATTGTGCTTCCATGCCCCCCCCCTGAAAAACATGAAATGACGCCCCTGGACGTCTTCTTTGAGTTAATGGTAAGTCCAAAGTTTATGCAGCCTTTCCAAAAGGTTGCAACACTACGTTGTATGNTAGGTGTTTGGCTTTCGTAAAGTTTTTTTTTTTACATGGGCAGAGTTGTTAGCCCTGTGTACAACCGTCTGGGGAATGGGGGGGGGGGGCGCTTGCCCCTTACAGCTTTCTATGTAGCAGCCTTAATTTTCGGATAAGCTTATCTTGCTTTTGTGGACTCCACCACTTCGTACAATTTTACAAAAAAATTCTGATTTTGGTCCGCCACGTGTATTTTATTACCCCCGTACTGCCGTATCTGGTGGGCTTGCCCCCTTCCACCGCCTGCGGAGTAGCTCGATGGCAGATCAGTCTCTGCAAAAATTACGCGGAAACTTAAAGAAATTCTCTTTGGAGAAGCACGGTTAATTAAACTGTTGCTGTTTTTATAACCATAACATCAGTTAACTTTTAAACATTCTAATGGATGCAACTTCACCGTTTAAAATACTAAATTATTTAAATAAAAAGAACATCAACGATAATACTTTTACCAATTTTCTCACCCTTTATAATTTTTTTTTTTACATACAGGAATGTATCGTTAAAGAAACTGAATGCAAGTGACCAAAGTGGAATACGCTTCCGCACCATCAGTGTCTTTTCTGTGTGGCTCCCTGCGGCCCTCTTGGTGCTCTGTGGTGTAGGCTTGTGGTTGGAGAGAGCAGGAGTTATCCGCCGTAGCTTGCTGGAGGCCGCCACTTACGGCTTCCTGTCTGCCACATTTCACGTGACCTACTCGTACGTCTCAGTTGGATTGGTTTTAAAGGAGGTCGGTGAAGAATTCAGGATCAATTCAATTTAATAACTTCTAAAGTCGAAACGCGTTTCGAATATAAGAACTAATAAACTTTATTTTTCGAAGGTGTTGTGTGTGTGGGATGCGGTAACGTGACTAGGGTTACAGCCGTCCCATTGCCCCGCCCCCCACTATTCAACTTTCATGGATATCCTTTGGTTTTTACGGACTTTTACGGACATGTTTTTGGGGCTATTTTTTACGGACTTTCCGAACTGTGGGCAAACTTGGCCCCGACTTTGTTACCCCACTGGCGTGATGCCCAAAATTAATGTATTTTTACCGGCGTGATCTGAAATATAGTAGTAGTCAGTAGCGTCACTGGGGTTTGGTGTGTCACAGTGCAGTAAACTCGTTGTGTCACCGCCTCCAAACTTACTTGACCACATGGACCTCTTTCGAGTCTGCCTGCTCTGATGACAACCTGCTCTGATGACAACCTGTTCTGATGAGAGCCTGCTCTGATGAAAACCTACTCTGATGAAAACCTGCTCTGCCGGCAACCTGCTCTGATGACAACCAGCTCTGGTGACAACCAGCTCTGGTGACAACATGGTCTTTTAAAAGACATACGAATAGCAACAATCCGAAATCTCAACTTGCAAGTGATTTCCACTTATTTTAGTCAAAGCAGTGAGATAATCACCATCTTCCAAATAACAAAGCTGTAAATAGGGGAGAGGGGTACCGGGGAAAAGTATGTTTATTTACCATCATTTTATGCGTGCACTTACATTTAAAATAAGTAGGTCATTGTCATGTCGTTTCAGATGTCAGTCGTGAGCCACGCTGTTCTTAACATCTTAAAGCGCCTCCTAGTGGTGGTCCTCCTGTACATCTCTAGCGTACGCGTCGCCACGTTCTCCAATTTCGTCGGCCTGGCAATATGTACCTTCGGACTTGTGCTGTACTCAACTGATCAACAAATTTTGAAATTCTGCAGTGAAAGAATTGGTATAATTTGTTTTAAATTTTTCATACACTTCACCCACAGCATTAAATATTGATTCTGCTGATAGCGAAGTGTTCCAACAGAACACTTATTAAAAACGTATGGTCATGCAATGGAGCGTCTGTAGAGAGAAATTTAAACCGAGTATTTGTGTGGTGTTCTTGAAGACACCTGCTGTGGGCTTGCCGGGTGTGGGTTTGCTGGGTGTGGGTTTGCCGGGTGTGGGTTTGCTGGGTGTGGTTTTGTCGGTTGTGGGTTCGTCGGTTGTGGGTTCGCCGGGTGTGGGTTTGCTGAGTGTGGGTTTGCTGAGTGTGGGTTTGCCGGGTGTGGGTTTGCCGGGTGTGGGTTCGTCGGGTGTGGGTTCATCGAGTGTGGGTTTGCCGGGTGTGGATTTGCCGGGTGTGGGTTTGCCGGGTATGGGTTCGTCGGTTGTGGTTTCGTCGGAGATTGTGACCGATGGCGCCTGCTTCCTACGTAGACACATGGCACGCAGCGAATGATCACAGAACCGTCTTTCTCATCGCTGGTTACGGCACTGGTGGGCGGCGATTGTAGCAGTGTGAATATAAGAAGGAACGTTTCCTTTTCAAATCTTGGGTTTTTCCTATACATGATAAGAAAAAACATTCAAGATTAAATTATTCACAGTATATATATAGAAGTTAATTATTGTTTTTTATGTCCGATTACCAGTTACGGAAATGTTAATGATTATTAATTTTTTTCTCCTCTTAAAGTTAAGACTTGTGTTTACATTTAGAATCTACGATTTGATAGATTAACTTGAATGAAATAAAAAAAATTAAATATTTTTGTCGTACTTAAAATGGAAGGTATGTAAAATAAAAATAGAAACAATTTGCGTTTAACAAACCCGCATTTCCTTATATGATGTATGCTAAAAATCTCTTAGTAAAATGTTATAATTATTGTCTATCCCACAGTAAAATTTCTCTCCATATTTGTACTGGTTACATTTTTGGTGATTTCCACACGACTGACAAACGTTGACTTCTATCAGATCCTCAAAAGTTCTTACTACCCAACCACGATTGGTAGAAACAGTTTAAACCGCTCTGTTGACAGCCTCCACATTCTATACCTGGGATTTAATCATCCCACTGAGCAGGATCTTCTGCCTGACCTCTCCGGGTACACAGCGAGAGAGAGACGCGAGATACAAAACTTTCTTGGTGAGAACTTGGCCAAAAATTCAACGCGTTCCAATTTTCTGTCTCAGCAGCTGCGAACGTCTTTGGAAGTTATCAAGGAAACCCAGAGAATCCATTATAACATCTTCAAGGATGTCTTGGGCTCGTTCAAGTACGGCATGCTGCTGGACACGGCCGACTTCGAAAATAAAGGCGACCCGGCCATCACAACGGCGGAGATTTACTTCTTGGCGCGCATCAAGCTCGACTTGATCTACTACTGCAACAGCGGGGCGTGCACGAAAACCAACTTAGTAAAGGCGGCACAGTTGGCGCAGAAGTACTCACCGAAAGATCTCGTCATTCTCCTACACGGCGGCGGAAACATCAACGGTTACGAGGATCACGATCATTTGCGTTTTCAGTTGTTTGATTTGTTTAAAGGGTTTCAGTTTTTTATGTTCCCTCAGAGCATTTGGCTGAAGCCTGGCAGCGGGAAACACCAGGAGTTGTGTCGTAAAATGTACTGCTGCCACGAGAATGTAACGATGGTGTTGCGAGATTCGCTTTCTTACTGGATTGCCAAGAAATTCTTCAAAGGCGCCACACGTCTGCTGATGGCGCCGGACATCGTCTTCCATTTGGGTCCTGTCAAGCGAACGATGGCTCCGGTTTTTGATATCCTGTGGATTCGAAGGACTGATAAGGAAGGCCCGAAATATAACATGACCATATCACATCCTTCTCATCTCCGCTTGCACGTATCGGATTGGAACCTCTTCATAACTCCGAGAGCTGGGACCAGCCTAGAGAAATCCATGTACGCAACCATGATGGGCCTCTTCTACATACAGCGTGCTCGGGTGGTCATCACTGACCGTCTTCACGGACACATCTTGTCTATGCTGCTGGACATTCCCCACGTTCTGGTGGACAACCCGGCCAAAAAGCTGTTCAGCTATCATGACACATGGACGCGCGGGGTCAAAAATGTGAGATTCACTACCGATCCTACCCAGGCCGTTGGCCTCGCTTTAGAGTTGTTAGAATTGTACAAAACTGAATTACCTCCCCGTGCGCCCTGGCTCAACATTAGTGAGACTTTTCGAGTCATTAACTACACTCTACCCGAGACTGGCTTCTCTTGAACACATTTAGAATTAGTTTTGTTTTTGTTGTTTTATATTTAGGAAAAAGGTGAAAATTCGCTTCTAATTTATAATGGTGGGATTGTTGAAACCTTTGACATCTGAATGCTATCTGTATACTTAAGACGGTTCTATTATTTTATATTCTTTTTTGTATATTGACAAATTCGTATATAACGTTTATCATGTATTTATACCCCAACCGTCTGATGTGATGTGAATACCAGTAATTTAATGTTAAAAAGTCTCTTTTTTTTCTTATGAGTGATCATCCGTATAGTACGTAAGCACCGCATGAGAGGGGAGAGGGGTTTTTTTTATTTGGAAAACGGTATATGGCCCCCGGGGGGGAGGGGGTTGAGGAGCTTGCCAGAAACTTTGTAATTTATGCCCAAATTATCTAATGATTGCCCTAAAAGTACGCTATTCTTAAACAGCCTATTTGAAATTTGATTTTTTTTTTGTGTACGTAATACCAGGATGACCCTTAATCAGTAAGCCATATTTTCATCCTAATTCATGGGGTTTTTAATATTGCTCCTTTAAACAAATTATTAAAATACCTTCGAAAGGCACTGAATGCTCAATTATTCATTTTTCATGCATGCCGTCATAAGTGCCCTCATAGCGCATAATCTGTTGTATGACTCGTCCATGTATGCCCACGGTCAGTGCTGTCACTACCGGCGTGTCGATGTCACTACAATAATATCCCGATGTATTAAAAATTTAATATATGTCAGTTTTAAATGCCGTTGCACCGAATGTCCTGTACTATTTATTCATTTATGTTTTTTTCTAAATTATGTGACAAAGAATATCATGTGATAGCTGGCAGAGCGTATGCACTGTTTCTTTCAATGTGTTGGGGGAGGGGGGGTTTCGGTCAAATCTTCGACAAGTGCCAGTGGCGTGGAAGGGGAGTGAGAGGGGGGAGGTGCTCTCAGGGGCCTTGGTATTACTTGTTATGGAGAGTTTTTATAATGGAAGAAGTGGGAAACAAAAAACTTGGCCCACCCAGCGTGGCTCTGACGCTAGCTACTGGACACTACATCTATCAGCTGGGAAGTTAGACATAATGGTGACCACGGTCAGCTATAACTCCGCCCCCCCCTTCACCAAACATCAACTAAATTCCTTCCAGTTGTTGGACCTGTGACGATTCGCCCCAGCCACTTCACCGCCATCGTTTCACACCGACCAATTCACCTCCACACATTGTTGCGACGCTGATTAAGAAATTATTTTACGAAAATGAGGGAACATTTAAATGCACATGAGATTATAAAAATATTGAATTCTTAAAGGCATTTTATCTACGTAAACGTCAAAGTTTGTTTTTGTTTGTAGGTTGTTTGTTAGTTCCTCAAGATTGACTAAGTCAGGGGTGCTCAAACTCTTTGTGCGGAGGGCTACATTGACACTTGTAAAGCTGTTGGGGGGGGGGGCGCATGTATATTATTTCCACACAGCGGCGTAGCTAGTGGGGTGCGGGGGCTGCGGACCGCTCCGGGTGTCAACATTTCAGGAGGTGACACCCAGTAGAAAAATTGCATATTTACAGAGCACACACTGCTCGGTACAACCGATTTTCATAAAAGTTATATTTTGATGCGTCAGAAATGAGGTGATCGTATAATTTGGTAAGAATAACACCGAATTGAAAAATTGTACATTTACAGAGCACACACCGCTCGGTCTAACCGAATTTAATAAAAGGATAACCGATCACACATAAGTTTTCCACACGTGAAACTAATCCCAATGAAGCGTCAGAAACACCCTTTTGACCATGATTCAACGCCGATTGAAGTGGTCGGTAACTTTCATATATGACAGGAAGTAATATTTATCTGAATTCTGAGAAATAAAGCTTTTCACTGAAACCAAATATTATATGGTTGGACGATTCTAAGTAAATGAATTTAAAAAAAAAAAACATTAAAAATGATTTTTACCCCCTTTTAGGGTAAACAAAATAATAGTACACCATTTTCTAAAAACATTTTATGATTAATTTAAAGTTAGTTGTTTTTTTTTTAAATTAAAAAAAAGAATGCGTTTCAAACCAAATTTATCGAAACCCAGAAATCAAGAAAAAAAATGTTCGCCGATTCGTCACTAGCACCACCTCTTAACATGAAAGCACGATTGTTATACAGCACAAGGTCTTGTACATGCTGTCTGTGATTTCACGTTTATATGCTAACTTCATCTTTGGGATGATCTACGTGAGGAAGATAATCTACACAAAAGTATCTTCAGACTAAATGCTTTACTCTTGACAAAGTAGTGACCAACCTAGAGGCCTTAAGAGGCTCTACTTTCAGTTGAAAGTGACGCAGTGAAGGATATTGAATTTCTTCAAGTGACTGACCAATTTGCAACTATGAAGACCAGAAAACATTTTTTTTTAATGAAGTAAATTTAATGTAAAAATAACTATAACTTAACGTTATTATTACTTCTTCTTCTTCTGTATGTTGAGTGGCCCACTAACAATGATCAATATATGGATCATTCTGGCTCCTTTAAATACTTAAATACAGTTATTAAATACATTTACCTCCTGACCTTTAATTAATTTGTTTTAATTTTTGTCATTATTATACTGTTATTTTAACAATAACAAATCCATCTTGGAAGTCGGGGGAGGGGGGTGACACCATGAGTTT